CATACATACATACATACATACATCATTGTCGTTTCATACATACATACATACATAGCACTGAAATAGAAAAGTACTGTGGACTTTTACACAGTCAGCCAGAGTAAAGAGGGAAAAAACATTTAAAACATAAAAGGCAGAGGCCGCTGCTACCTCCTTTTCTCGTCTCCTCTCCCTGCCATTCAACAAACGTGTAAAAAAAAGAGTTAAAAGAACAGCCAGAAACTGATCTGCTCCTCTGCTGGCTCTAAAGTTTTCCCTGTGCACACGCCTCCCTGGCAGGCAGCACAAAACCATACTGGTGAAGTAAAGAAAGAGCAACACAGCTCCTCACTGGATTCTAGTCAGTGTTGGGCCTTTTCACCTTTAAAATTCCTGCTCCCTCTCAGAAGTTCTTATTGGTTGCAGACAGCAGTCTTCACAAAACTCAAAATTTTCCCAGGCCATTTGATACATAAGGGGGTGAAAAGTTTAATGAAAGAGGGAACAGGAAAAAACACAAAACTTTTCTGTATCCCTCTTTTGTTTAAACAAATTGTTCATGTTTAAGAAACTCTTTTGGTACTTAACACAAGAACCCACAAGTAAAAGTTAAAAGCCTACTTTTGTGGTTTTTGCCTTAAAACTTCCCACAAAAGTCCAGTGCCCTACTGCTCAGTATTTCATACCTCAACAATACAAAAGAAAGAATAACAAATATTACACTAACAATCATGTATACTGTTTTCACTGATTGCTATTAACGTTTTATAAAAACACACAGTCACTTTTTACCTCATCATCTTTTCGTTTCTTAAAAATATTATCTTCAACTTCTCCAACAGCTAACATGATCATCTGCACTCTTTGCAAATTCACATAGCCGTTTTCTGTAAGGTATCCCTGCAAAATATCAGAATAGCGTTGTTAACTACATTCTCCTTCTGAAGTTCAACAAGTTATTACTAAAGTGGAAGTAGGGATCACTTACGCCAGTTTTGTGTACCACATTTTTATATATGCCAACTAGACGATCAATTGCTCCTTCTCTGCAAATAAGTAAATACAATTAAACAACTCATTTTGTTTCTCGGGTTGTTGTACATACAAACAAAGTTGAGCTCACCTACTATCCTGCCATTCCACAGCAAAAATGTCTTTGAGACATTTGCTATTGACTAGGATTCCTTCCAGCCAACCTGGCACCACTCCAACATGGATAAAACATTTTATTTCTGCTGGTGAATATACTTGGGAAAGAACTAGGTGAACTGAGTTTTATGAGAAGCAGTTTGGCTTGACAGTTCAGTTAATGAATATAAGAAACCTCTACCTATAGAATACCAGACAAACTTTCACTTTTTCAGTGTGTTAGACAACAAATCTTGTCAATCTCCAATTGGAGTATGTGTTGAGGGTAGGAGGTTGCTGTTCAAAGTGCCTGGAAAGAAAATGGCAAAGGAAGCTTGGCTTTGGGGAGTATTTTCAAGGTGCAATAAACAAAACTGGCCACTTGACAGGTTCTGTTTAAATACTAATGTTCCCAGCTCTGGGACACTTAAAATACCTCCTGCATCTGACAAAACTGGTAATTTATAATCTTCAGAAAGCAACATTTCTTATCTTTGGCTATAACAAAATTTTAAGAATTATATATATATGTATACACTCTTATCTTTGGCTATAACAAAATTTTAAGTATTATATATATATATGTATACACAATCACACACACATACACAATTTTAAGTATTTCTATATATATAGAAAAAAATACTGTTTTCCTTACCTGATTTCTAGTGATGGTAAATGAGGAAGAAAATCATTTCCCACAAAGAAACACATGAAAACCCAGTCATCAATACTTCTTTCAACATCAAAAGTGAAAGGCAAGCTGGCCATCGTTAATTCTCTTTCCAAATACTATAATTATTTTAAAAGAAGAAGAGAGACAGAGAATGAACAAGAGATTCTATTAAATTACATTGGGACTTATTATGTCTACTGATTACTTGGAATACAGTACAGAAAAAGTACATTACCTACAGAAGGAAGGTGAGCAACTTAAGTCACTGGCGCTTAATGGCATTGTCTCTAATAACCTTACCTATCCACAGATCTCCAGAAGGAAAATAAACTGTCCCCCTATTCTACTGGAAAACCTACTATAAAGAAATACACTCTCCCACCTAATAAAAAACAAAGCAAAACCAAGTGTTGTTTTTATGAACTCCCATCCAGTAGCTCTGCACAAGTCAAACACTCCCATTCTCCCGGTCCTCAAGTCACTTGTCTTGGGCATGCTCTCCGTTTGCACCCACCCTGACAAAGGCTTCCATATGCACCAGACAACAGCCATCTCTTCTTAATACCAGACCTGAAAAAGGGCTTGAGGCCATTATTCACAGGCTTAGATCATATAGCAGAAAGCTATTCTCAGTATGCTAATAGCACTGGCAAGAGATTTTTCCATCTGTTTTGAAATTTCTGTGTTAATTGTTGGTCTACCACACCCAAATCATGGCACTAGTACAAATCCCTATGCCGCTCAAGTCCCAGCTACTTGGGAGGCCTACATTTCCCAGTACTGACTTAGGGTGTAACCACATTGACATTAAATGCAGGAAATGCTATAGAATTAGGATGGTCATATATTTTTTCTGTTGAACACATGATGTAAACGCAAATGCAAACCAGCCTGGAGTTTCCACTCAAGATTTTTTTTGTTCACCACTGGAGATTCTACTTTTTTTCAGAGTGGATCTATTTGTACCCATTCAAATAGTGTGATTGTCTGAACTGATGCAGAAAAGTGTGATTCTGCACAGACTTTGCTCTCTGCAATCCCCTCCAGGCAGAATAATGCTAATTTAAAAAAGCTTGGTGCCACCATTGTGCTAGGCCATGTAGATACAGAGTGAGAGTGAGAGACTGAAAAGAGGAAACGAGATGAGGAAATTGCTGCTCAGCCCTTGTTTATAGCTTGTTAAGGTAGTTCTCCTGTAGCTAAGCCTCCACGACACCACCGGGCAACCAGCAGCCGAGCCTCGCGTCCTGTGCCCCGGCTCCTGTCCCGCTCAGCTGCACCAGTTCCGCCTCAGCTCAGATCAAAAGGCAGGGAATTCGAGCTTCGACTCCACCGGGCGGTCCGCAGCCGAGCCTCGCGTCCGGGCAGCGCCGGGTCCGTCCGCTTCGGCTCAGAAGTTGCAGTCCGAAGCCCAGGACTCAGCGCCCTCTCAGTTAACTTGAATTTACTCAGGAAAATCTGGACTCCCAGTTGTGACTTCATGGTGAGTAACTATGCATTTTTCTCACTGTGTAGTTGCACACTCACTCATGATTTAAGATGGGGCAGGATGGTGCCACAGAGCAGTGTGGTCCGTATGCAGGCACACACTGCAGGGCATTCTTGGTATTGGTGCCCCAGCTATGGTACTCCCTTCTAGTTGAGATTTGGTAATGCCCTACACTGGTGTTATTCAGTCACTAGTATGGATTTTTAAATTTGTATAATGCTCAGAGTGTAAGGCAAGTGTTCTTTTTTTTTTTCTGGCCTGTAATTTTAAAACATATTTAGGAGTTATAATTTTAAACATCTTTTACAGAGGTTGTTAACTGCCCTGTGCTGTGATGGACAGTGGGATGCAAATTAAAGAAATAAATACATATACTTACTTCTTTCAGAACACATAGGCGAATAAAAATAAATTCTTGTTCCATACCAGGAGGACAATCTGCAAACTGATCATGCTGCCGAGAAAAAAAATATTACATATTATTTACATGTGTACTTTAAAATAATTTATCTTGCAGTAGATCTATGTATGCTCACACAAAAGGCCTTTTAAATTCCAAAGGGTTTTTCTACTAAAGTGTTTATAGAATTGCAGCCTTCAAACATAAAAGTGGGGGGAAATGTAACCAAAATTATTTTTTCAGCAGGATCTGACACATGATTATCCAAGTAAATTCCATTATGCTTAATGATGTTTACTCTCAGGTGAGTTTGTCAGGGTTGTTCCCTTAATCAATGTACATGTGTTATCTATGATTTGCCATCCTCATCCTCCTCTTCGCTCTCCAATGACCATATGCACTTTATATGCATTCTGAGATAGCTGACATATATTCTCAATACACAGAATCGATTGCAATCCTATAAATTGTTGTTTTTTGTTGTTGTTGTGTGCAATCAAATTGATTCCACTTTACGAAGACCTTATGAATTAATGATTTCCAGAATTTCCCGTCATTAACAGATCTTCTCAGGTCTTGCAAAATCAAGTAGATTCTTTTATTCAATCAATCAAGCTGTATTCCCCTGGGGGGCATTATCGCCCACGTTAAGAACCACTGCTATAAATTGTTGTTTTTTGTTGTTGTTGTGTGCAATCAAATTGATTCCACTTTACGAAGACCTTATGAATTAATGATTTCCATAATTTCCCGTCATTAACAGATCTTCTCAGGTCTTGCAAAATCAAGAAGATTCTTTTATTAAATCAATCAAGCTGTATTCAGCTTTTCCTACTGCCTTCCACTTTTGTAACATTTTTTTTTTATTATTGACTTTTCCAGTGGGTCTTATCTTCTCATAATATGTCCAAAGTATGAGAGTCTGTTTAGTTATTTTAACCTCTAGTTCAGGTTTGATTTGCCTTAGACCCAACATTTATCTTTCTAGCAGCCCACTGCATCCATAAAGCTCTCTTCCCAAACCACATTTCAAATGAATTTTTTTTCCCCGAATAAGATTTCTTCACTATCTAACACTCACATTCATACATAGTAATCAAAAATACAGTGGTACAGATGATTTTGGCCTTGGTCATCAATAACACATCCTTACATATAAGGAACTTTTTGTAGTTCCTTCATAGCTGCCCTTATGTGGTTTAGGCTGGAATCCTGTTAGTGCAGCTTCACATGCATGAGGCTGGTGATGTTTCAGCCTTTTCATTTAAGATTTTTCTACTCCCTCTCTCATGTTTCAAAGCTCCTTAGGGATCCCTTTTGATCTGGTGAAGACTTTCAAGGGCCACTGGGTGGGGGACGACTTTAATGTCTGAAAATTGCCTATGGCAGACTCAGTACTAGCACAGGATTTGTGGTGGAGATGTTCAGACATTAATGGCTCATCCCCATTATGAGGCCTCCAACGACTTGCCCAGGTTGAAGGGGAAATCTAGGGAGCCTTACAATCTGATGTGTGAGGCACCACTGTAATTAATTTGAATGTTTTCAAACTGGGGGAATCTCATTTTCAGTTCTATCACTTGCTTTGTTTAGACTGTTTCATCATAGGGGTTTCAAGATATAAAGCATTGAGAAGTCATTTACCAATGTCTTTTTCTGTGTGTTATACCACAAGTTACTTTGAGAGTGGCTGTCACTGTCCGTGAAAGATCTTCTGCCAGTATCACCTTCTACTGTTTGTGAATAGTTACTGTTTTAGAATTTCTCTGCCCATCCCCATTAGAAGTATCAATTTTCTTCTGCTGATGTGACCATTAATTTCTTAAAAGGATGGCTGCCTCTTAGTCTGGCGTCTCAACACTAAACATTCCACCTTAAGTAACTTTGCTAGGAGTCTGGCCTTCTGATGGTATTGCTTTTAGTTTCCTTGACACACTCAAATCCCCTTGCCACATTAAAGTATACATTCAAGGAGGTGCCATAAATTGTAAAGTCTGGAAAATTGCTTCAACATAATGCTTCATTTATATATAAAACACTAGTCCAAACTTCAACCATGGTTTGTTAGAATCAATCTAACATAGATGCACAATAATCATAACATGTCTGAACAACTTCAGGGTTGCTCTCCCTGTGCCACTTCTTCCTGTACTAAGAGGGTATTCCCAAATATCCTAACCACAGTAAACGATTGCTGTGGTTTCACTATACTGTAACTCTATCCCATTTGCTATTGTCTGTAATTGTCAGTATCGGGGGGGGGGGCTTGGAATCAATCCCCAGTGGATATGGGGGTCCTACTGTAGTTTACAATGGTCTTTGGATTTGTCCTTCTGACAACAGATAATGTAAGTTAGTTTGAGAGATAGTTAATCACAACTTGGTCAAGATCTGATTCAGGCTTTCCCACTACTTAATTTATTGCATCTACCTATGCATACCACACTGGTTCTTACAAAATACAGTAAGGCAAAATGTTCAACTTACCTCCCCCTGTTTTTCTTTCGGCAGGCCTTGACAGTCCTTAACTTCATGTCCAATTTGATTGCACAGACCACATGGCTTAGGTTTATTAGGTTTAAACTCTTCTCTAATAATAGTAAAATTTGGTTCATGTGTAGCTAATCCAAGCATGATAAGATCAGCTATAATAAAGGGGGCAAAATTCAAATATTAACTTTTCTTTTGATTAAATAGCTGCAACAATGGCTCAGTTCAGTTAACCCACACCCAAAGAGGTCTGGAAAGAAACCATGGGTTTCAAGTTCCTTCCTCCTCTCTTGTTCTTGTATAAAGAAGTCAATAGTGACAGAACATTGTTAGTACCAAATAGGCTATATAGAGAAGTGTTATGTTTACAAGTCTCCATACTGTGATTATTATTATTATTTCCTTCTATTCAAAGTATTTATAAATTTGCTCCCAAAGTGAAGTAAAATAAGATCATCACCAACAATTCAAAACAAAAACAAAACATTCTTTAAATGAAGAAAGAAAGTGATTTTTAAAGCCAAAAACATGAAAAAAAAGGTTTGATGCTTATAAAAAGCTCAGTAAAGAGAGCGCCAGCCTGACTTCTCTTGAGTTGAAATGATGCTGCAGAAAAAAACAAAATCCTGGCATGTGTATCTACCAACCTAACTCCACAATTGTGGGGCAAGCAAAAGGATCTCTGCAGAAGATAGCAAAATATCAACATGGTCATATAGGAATAGATAACTATTTAGGTATTCCTGTCCCAAGCTATTTTAAAGCTTTTTATGTCAAGACTACTAGCTTCAACTAGTAGATAAGAAACAAAATAGAAGCCACTACAGTTGATTCAAGACTCGTAAAATAGAAACCACAATCCTATTGGTTAAAGCAATAATACAAGTGGCACTACATTTGGGGGTAAATTGCCTGAAGTTTAAAAAAATCATCCTAGATATTATCTGTCATGCACTGAATTGCACAACCCTGCACTCAATAACGTCTGCAGTGACTTCTTGACTTGAGGCTATTTGCTTCCAAAAGTTACAATACCTGTGTCACACTGGGGTAAAAGCTCAATAAGATTCACACTCTCTAAAGCCCACAACCAAACAATAGTCTTCCTGCCGCATTCTCTTCTATGTATTGCATCTGAACACTGTCTGGGGACAGTCCCACATAAAGTACACTACAGTAATCTGAGAGTTATTTCAAGCATGGATCACTGAAAGGATCCAATTGCCTCCCTAGGAATAGATGCAGCTTGCACACCTACCAAACTTAAGCAAACACACCCTCAGCCATCTGTCTGTCCAAGAGTGACAATGGCTCCCGAGGAACCCCAATCTGCAAACTTGGTTCTTTAGTGCAGGAATCCCCATCCCCTGGTCTACGGCCCAGTGCCAGTCAATGGCCTGGGCTGCATTGGGCCACAGAGACAGATCTACCACCCCCCGCACGTCCTCCTGCTCCTGCTCCATCACAGCCCCTTCGTGCATGTGTGTGGGAGTGCCCCACCCCACCCCTTCGCACGTGCGTGTGAGCATGGGGTGGTGCCCTGCCTTCCCCAACCGGTCTGTGGAGTTAAAAAGGTTGGGGATCACTGCTTTAGAGGATGTGTAATCCCATCCAGAATAGCCTACAACACTGCACTTTGCCCCTGTTCAACAGCCACAGATATAATTCTTTACTTAACATACAGAACAATTTCTACTAATGAAGAAAACTAAGAGATGGACATACCATCAGCACCACATAAACAGTGATGTGTATTTGGGTCATGGTTCGGTTGAGCTAAAACAAAAGAAAACAAGTATGTTTTAATTGTACAAATCTGATTATTCTCAGATAGAGGGAACAGAAAGAGACTTTGATGCATTACTTATTATTAGTACTCAACAAGATGACATATATTTTCACTGCACCTATATACCATGAAACAGTAAGAAATGAGATGAAGAAACTGAAACCCTGAAAGGCAGCGGGCTTGGATGGGTTTTAATTAGAATACTGAATAAGGTTATTAATACATTAGCACTAGAGAAGGGCACAAACCTCAGTTCATGGGTTCATGCAGTGCGTTCCCTACCCCTCATCATTAGCTGGTTCCCCCACTCACTAGCCAGTGGACACTACTCTCCTCCCTGTCCTGCCTCCTTGGCTGATGGCCCACTCAGACAAGGCAGGACAGGCAAACCCCATACTCCTGCTGGGGACTGGTCAAACACCCAAAGAGGAAGAAGAGAGAAGCATGTTCTGACTGGTAAGTGGATAATGGGAGGGAAGGTGGGGGAAGGGAACGTCTGGCACCTGTGGTGTCGTGCATTTGAGCCAGTATGAACCTCCAAACCAAGGTATGTGCCCATCTCTAATTAGCACCTATCACTACCAAACAGTTTAATCAACACCTTAAGTAAAGGTAAAGGTTTCCCTTGACATTTAGTCCAGTTGTGTCTGACTCTAGGGCACAGTGCTCATCCCCATTTCCAAGCCATAGAGCCAGCGTTTGTCTGAAGACAGTTTCCGTGGTCATGTGGCCAGCACGACTAGACACGGAACACTGTTACCTTCCCCCCGAGGTGGTCCCTATTTAATCTACTTGCATTTGCATGCTTTCAAACTGCTAGGTTGGCAGGAGTTGGGACAAGCGACGGGAGCTCACTCCGTCGCGAGGATTCGATCTTACGATTGCTGGTCTTCTGACCTTGTAGCACAGAGGCTTCTGCGGGTTAACCCGCAGCGCCACCACGTCCCTAATCAATGCCTTACCATTTAATTAAATTGGAAATTAATGGAGGGATGTAATAATGAGATCAATCCTAAAGAGCAGAACTATACACAGACTCTTATACCTCCATTTCACTCTTCACCATAGACTGTAACATATTAAAAGCAGTATCTACTGACTAACAGATCCTTCCAAATATACAACCTTACTCGCATTAGACCATTCAATAACAATTACTATCTAGCAGTTCACAAACAGAAAATATAATTAGAATAAAGCGTGCTATAGTAACAATTTCACAAAACAATTCACCATCTACAAATTTCTAGCAGACAGAGTAAAATTAGATGACTAAAATAATTCATTACATATAAGAACTTTAAAAACAGCAAAGCCATGGACCCCTAAAATACTTAAAATAAAGAAAAAATATTCATCTGGTGCTGGAATGGCCATGATGCTACCGAGCTCAACAACTGAATTTCAACTAACCAAGAGACTTTTTCCTTTAGTAGCCATCCAGAGTCCCTTGGCAGAAGAACCCTGAGCAAACGGAGCCTCTAAGAATTTCAACATTTGCACAGGCATATATAGGATAATATGACTTCTCAGGTATTTTGGTCCAAAACTGTTCAGGGCTTTAAAAGCTAAAACCAATGCTTTGATTTGGGTCTGGAAAATGTTTGCGAGTCAATTAAGTACCAATCAATACGATCACATCACTCCATCACAGCTTTGTTGTCCTGTTTTGGTCAAGTGGAGTTTTAGGACCATTTCCCAAGGCACTCAGGTACAAAACATTTAAATAATCTAAGCAGGATATTACCACAGCACGGATAACTGTGGGCAGATCATTGCACTTGGCAAGATAGCCAAACTTGATAAAAGGTGCCTGAGCCACAAAGAAAGCTTGGGCCGTTTGTGATAGTGCTGGAGCAAGAGGCACCTTTAAACTATGAATCTGATTCCTCCAGAACAGGTTAAGTACTACTTAATGCTGCAGATTAGACTGAATATATTAGAAAGGAGGATAAACCACTGGATCATTAAAACACAGACTAATGATAATTAAGGAATGTTTTTATTATTTAAGATCTCCAAAGCCTTCAAGAGAGCAAAATGGTCCTTCTGGAAGGGGATGGGGTGAAGATTGTTCAAAGGTTTTATTTGGCTTTAGCACTAAATTATAAAAAAATGGTACTTTTTCTTACACCAACTTGGTTTCAAAGGCTTTTACACTAATTGTTCGAAATAAATATATACTATTAAGGAGAGGGGTTAGAGAAACTTCTCCAGTCTCTGCTGCATCTTTTTCCCTCTTAAAGCTTGTGTTCTTTGGATCTACATGAAATTATCTTACACAGTAGTTTGCAGCAACAAACTGGAAAGATACTGGTGATCAAAATAGACACAATCACTATTATTACATTGTTAACTTTTAAAAGGAGAACTGCAAGACATATAGGATGGTCACAGTTTAAAAAATCCCTAAAATATAATAGCACGATGCCTCTGAGGCTTTCAAATAATTACAATTAAATTTTATTGGCACTGAGGATGATGTCAGCAGCTTGCACAGTAGAAATGTACATCAGTAAGATTTTGGCCACTAGCTTCAACCTAAAGTTTCCACAAGTGATAGTATGGACAGAAGATACTCCCACAGAAAAGGAAAAGGAAGTGACTATTTTTGCCACTCCTCCTTTGGCAACAGTCTTCTCTATCCCTTGCTTTACCTCTTTGCCTTCGTATATAATCCATGATTTTGTGTTCACCTTCACCAGGAGCACTAGCATCAGATAAGATAACCTATGAACAAGAAAAAAGAGGCAACAGAAAACATAAGCTGAAACACTTAATACTTGACAGCACCTTGAAAATGACTAGTAATTAATCTTATTTAGTCCAGTGTTTCCCAATTTTTTTATTCTTAAAACTGGAGGCTTACTTCTCTCTAACGCTTAGAAAGGAATACATTACAGTGGTGCCTCGCTTTATGATTGCCCCGCATTACGACAAAACCGCATTACGACGATGGTCTGAATGGGTTTTTTTCGCTTTGTGATGATCGGTTCTGTACTTCCAGAACCAATTCTCCGCAAAACGACGATTTTTCTCCAGCTGATTGGTGGTTTCAAAATGGCCGCCAGGTAAATAAAATGGCTCCCTGCTGTTTTCTGGGACAGATTCCTCGCAAGACAGCCACCGAAAATGGCCGCCCTATGGAGGATCTTCGCTAGACGGTGAGTTTCCAGCCCACTGGAACACACTGAAGGGGTTTCAATGCGTTTCAATGGGTTTTTTATTTTTGTATTGTTTTCGTTCTACAGCGATTTTGCTGGAACGAATTAACGTCGTAATGTGAGGCACCACTGTATTTCCCTAAACAACATCCAGCAGTTATTCTTGAAACCCTGAAAGTCTAACTGATAAAGCCTCCTGCCCTACACTTTATCTAGCAAATCCAGGATGAAGTTACACTTCCAGTTGATGCTTCTGGTATCTCACCCTCCACTGTTAAGTCTGTCAGCAACAGAGCAAGCTGCATGAGGGAATCCTAATTTGAACTTCTTTTCATTACTATCATGTATTTCGGCAAGGCTTCTTACTCCAAGAAGGTAAAACAGTGGATACCATTCAACTTGGCACATAATTTTTCAAAGCACATCAGTTGTTGTTTCTTTGAAGCAGACAGATCTGTCTTGGCACATAATTAGCTACACTAACTAAGGCTGATAGGAGCTGCAATCCAACAACATTTGAAGGGGCAGGCATTTCTCACATGTGTTTCATCTGCTATATTAGGCAACATAGTTGAACAGTTTTTGAGCTCCTATGCAACAGCTTAACATGATTGTATAGCTGTCCATCTTCAGTGTAGCCCTATTATTTTGCAAACCATCTGCTTTAAAAAATATACAGTGGTGCCTCGCATAGCGAGGTTAATCCGTTCCGGATTAACCTTCACTATAGCGAAACATCACTGAACGGAACAAAAAAAGCCATTAAACGATGTTTAATGCGTTCCAAATCGGCCCCAAACTCACCGTTCAGCGATGCCTCCGGGGTCCGGCAGCCATCTTCGTGCCCTCGGTAAGCGAGGGGAGGGCGCGAAAACGCTGCATGCGGCCATTTCGGCCGCAGCGAGACCGCGGATCAGCTGTTCAGCGGGTCGACAATGGCCGCCGGAACACCTGAATGGCCACGCGCAGCGTTTTCGCACCCTCCCCTTGCTTACCAAGGGCGCGAAAACGCTGTGCGCAACCATTTCAGCTGTTCCGGCAGCCATTTTGGACCCACCGAACAGCTGATCCACGGGTCGCAAAGCGAAGGTCGGTAAGCAAACCGCTTACCGACCTTCGCTATGCGATTTTCGGCCATAGAGGCCAACGTGATGCCTTCGCATTAGTGATCCCAAAAAAGGGATTGCTATGCGAATTCATCGTTATACGGTGCGCTCGTTAAGCGAGGCACCATTGTATTTGAGAACTAAAGTCGAGAACAGGATGAGATTCATTTAACTGGACATAATGAAAATGAAACTTACCGTTAAATTTTTCCATCCTGGATCATTATTTAAACGATCAGCAACATAAAAACGGAGACATTTAGCAAGGTTGTCCATAAACTCTGTTCCCTAAAGAGTAGGAATGCAGCAGATAATTTGATCTACATACTTGAATAGCATTGTTATTATTTTTATTACTATTATTATTACAATGATTATTCAGCAGAGCACTGTGGTCCAAATCTCTAAGTCAAGCATAATAACTGTAACTGTAACTGGGAAATATTATAAGAACATGAAACATAGCACAAAATGACACACCAAATTTACAGCAGATTACGCGTACACACACATATAATGCCCCCTTTCACTCACACACACACACACGCACACACACAGAGCACATGTTTTACATGCATAGAGTCATGTATAAAACATATATATATTACAACCAGCAAGCAAACAGGCTCAGAAAAACGTAGCTAATGATCATGCTGAAATTATATGTTTGAATTTTACCAAACTCTACAAGTTACTTCAACTTTATATCAACTGTGTTACATAACACACAGGAGTTCCTGCTCTTGCTCATTCAGATCTTCTGCGGCATTTTTTCTCTTTAAAGAAAGAGAAAACCACAATCTTCCCACTCACCTACAAGAATAACAGCAGTGTATATTTCCCACAAATGCATAATAATGACACTGACACTGGTATAGCAACTTTAAAGATGTCTTAAAATCTGACAATAATGTCCATTTGCGCAAACAATAAGGCCTAAATTAGAAGGAATGTGTCACCTTCTATTTATGGATTGCCATAAAACCTCAATGTTTTATTGCTTCACAGCAGAGGACGTGTCCCCTGGAAATGAGAAGGACAGGTTGTTGTACAGGTCCTGTTCCCTCCCAGTCCAGGTCCTATTGAAGGTGAGGTTGTTAAAATGAGCTCCCCACCTGTGAGGAAGGGAATCTGAATCCAACCCACAATCAAAGCAGAACATGCCAAGTGAATAAATGGAGTTAATACACATGTTTATTTACCCAGTCACAAATTGATTCACCAGTTCTGCTGTGACTGAGACAGCCAATTGTTATTTAGAGGTTGTCAACCCCAGTCCGCAACCCGATGCCTGTCTGTGACCTGAGCCGGACTGGGCCGCAGAGACAGACCTCCCACCCACCCAACCCCCCGCACACACTTCCCTCCCCACAGCTGCTTTGTGCACGCGTGCCAGCGCCGGCATGAGCACTCCTCCACTCCTTCATGCAAGTGCCTGAGCACCCATGTGAAGGGGTGGGCGCGTGTGCGCTGGGGCGTGCAGACACTCCTGCTCATGCGCAAAGAGGTAGGGGAGTGTTCATGCTGGCGCTGGCACATGTGCTCTCTCTCACCACTTCACGCATGCACCCGAGAGCACGAGCACGGGAGTGCCCTGCCTTCCTCAGAGGCTCAGCCAGTCTGCAGTCCCAAAAAGGTTGGGGACTACTGATTTAGAGTGTTAAATCCAATTTAGAGACTAAGATTAAGAATACTTACTGGAGTAATGCAATTGCTGTCAAATCTTTCTTTTACTTCTTCTGGAGGAAGATATCCACCTTTTTGAAGAAAAAAAAAAGCATAATGGAGTTAAAAACTACTTTGACAAATACAGTTCTGAGGTGGAGGGAACAAGAGGCCTGTCCTTCCAGAACTAATTTTTGAATCAATAACAACTCTTGTTATGGGAACTGCAGCTAATTCTAGCAAAGAGTGGTTTGTTTAAATAATCCTATGCATGTTTACTAAGAGGTAAGCTCACAGCAGTTAGTGGAGCTTTTCTCCAATAAGTATCTACCAATAAGTTTCCACAGAATTACAATTTCAGTTTTAAATATGAATTATGAGCCATTATGAACAAACTCTGTGAACTTTGCCTTTTATGCCACACAACTGACTCTGCTTCTGCCAAACACAGGTCAAGGCAAGGAGCTATGCAAACAGATTGTATTACTAGAAATCTCATTCAGTAACTTCTAATTTCACAGCAAATGGCCCATTTAGTTTCAAGCACATCTTAAAAATAAGGGCAAGAAACTACAGTGGAACCTCAACGTACACACGGCTCCACTTGCATACTTTTTGAGGTCCGGATTTCTCTGGCCGCAAGATTTCCAATTGACTTGCGGCCAGGGAATCGACCTACGGACTGGAAGTGCCAATTTGGCACTTTCCCCGCCTCCCCCTTCCAGTCCGTATGCCGCAGTGTCTCCGGATACCTTCCAGGGCTTCTCCGCCACCATGGGAGGCATCTCGGAGGTCCCCCACCATCGCCGACTGAGCCTCCAAAGGAGCCTCCAAAGGCCTCCCATGGTGGCGGGGAAGGCCTGTGGAGGTCCCCCTTGCCGCCGATTGTGCTTCGGAGCTCAATCAGTGGCAGGGGGAACCCCCAAGAGGCCTCCAATGGCGGTGGGGAAGGCCCCTCGGTGCCCCCCCCCCCGTCGACGCAGGATTTCCCAGGGTGGACCAGGCCGACCAGGGGAGGGCTTCACCTGGTAGGCCCGGTCTACCACCCAGGAAAGCCTGGTAGACCAGGCCTACCAGGGAAGTGCTTCCCCCAGTAGGCCCGGTCTACTGCTTGGGAAAGCCTGGTAGACCGGGCCTACCAGGGGAGGGCTTCCCTCAGTAGGCCCGGTCTACTCCCCAGGCGTTCCTGGGGAGTAGACTAGGCCTACTGGGGGAAGCCCTCCCCTGGTAGACCCAGTCCACCCTGAGAAAGCCTGTGTCGGCGGGGGACCTCCGAGAGGCCTCTGGCAGCGGCGGCGAAGCCCTTGGAGGCCTTGGGCAGCGGCGATGGCGGCAGCAAGGGACCCCTGGAAGGCTTCATAAAGGTAAGTTCTATTTATTTTAATTTTTGTGTGTGTGGGGAGGGGGTTCTTGGGCCGGTTACGGATTAAATGGTTTTCAATGCATTTCTATGGGAAATGCATATTCAACCTACAGACTTTTCGACCTATGGACACTGTTCCAATACAGATTATTTCTGTAGGTCGAGGGTCCACTGTAGTTTTTTTAAAAGCTACACATACCTGAATTTTGTGCCCTCTGTCACAAGTCAGCTTCTCTGCGCATAGCAGCCAAATAATACACACAATTTTGATCACATGGACATCACTTTATTCAAACAAATTTCAAATGTGTGCACCAGATTTTTTTTATCCCAGGCAAGTCAACTGCTATCTGAAATACTTATTTCTTCCAAGAATAACATACTTTCATAAGAAAGAACTTTACAGTCACCTGCTACTGACATACACTAGAAAAAAAATACATGCCTTTTCCCAAGATTTCTTCTCTTATTCTCTGCTTCTCTTCTGCACCTTCCACTCCTTCCTTTGATGCTCTGAATCTTCTAGACCTTTGTTGGTTCATTTTTGCACGGGGAGCCTAGAAGAACAGAATTACTGTGAACAGTATTTTTGTCTTTTTCTTTAAACTTAGTTGTCATATTTGCATTAAATCTAAGACGCCCACAACCATTAAACGTGACAGTTTATTTCTAAATGAGAAAACTTTATCTGGTGGTGAAATAACACTGTAATTGATGCTGATTTTTAATACCACACACAAGAGAAACATCCAGCAACCAGAAACTGGTGAGAAACAATAGCCACAGTTCGCTCCTCACATTTCTTCCAAAGAAATTTTTTCTATTTTTCCATTGGAAAAATACTTTGTTTCCCGAAAATAAGACATGGTCTTATATTAATTTTTCCATTGGAAAAATAGAAACTTGTGTGAGCTTAGAAATATATTCCAATGATATATTTCTCTTTTGAAATGAGTTAAATGCTTTAAAGCAGAGAGTCTAGTCATTTAAAATACCAGGAATTGTGCAATAAGAAGATCTGTAAGGGAGTCTACAGAATTAGAGAACAATACTTGTTGTGGATACTGCAGACACACACAACACTAAAATCCAAGAGACATTTCTACATCAGGTCAGTGCTGGCATCAGCATGAGAGGAACTTTGCTTGTTGTACTGAAATGCATACGATGCAACAATTTGCAGATTCCTCTTCAACTTAGTACATACTCAACATTTTGCTTAAAGAAAGACTTCAATATTTTTAAATGTCAAGGGCAGATAAAACAATGCATTTTCATATTCTAGTAACATTATGAATAGTGCATTATGTGTTGCTAAAGAGGTAAGATGAGATCTGAGTAGTTATGAATATAAAAATTACATATATTTCAACTTTCCCCCAAATGTCCATCCTTCCCCAAAAAAGAACCCCTCCTTCTCCCTCCCTCACCCCACTGGCATTACAATTTAGGGAAATTTTACACAGAAATTCACTATGTGTTCATAATAATTAAATTATTATCAACTTTCTGCCTTTGTCTTAGAGCAATAGCCAGACAATGCAGCTGAAAGAAAGTGCTATTAGCATATTTTCTTCGAACAATCTGAGACTCGAATGCATAGATTTATAAGACATCATCTCGCTACTTGCATGCAGAACTACACAAATATTCTAAAGATCTGCTTTCTCCATTTTGAAAGCTGCTATCCCTAAACATTCTTGCTCTGAATGGGTCCACAACAGGTTGCCAAACAAGCTGATAGCAAATATTTCTGTACTAACCACTCCATCTATTGCCATGTATAAAAGTCGTCTTGGTCTCACAATGTTGAAAAGCCTGTCAATATACTCAAAAATGGCCACCATCATTTCATCTTCATTTTTGGGCGCTGGCCTGCAATGTAAGGCAATGTGTTATCATTTCAAACTATATATAAGCAATGTATTTCAATGTGTACTAAAGTACATTCAATGTGTACTCACTTGTCTTCCGGATGTGTACAAGGATGGATGATGCCATTCATATCCAAATATAGGTTATCAAATTCCACTTCATTGGGATTCGGCTTGCTAGTGTCAACTGGAATTTTGACTCCATTACATTCTTTAGGCTGCAAATGATGATTGACAAAATTAATGACAGTTTTTTGGAGCTTTTTCAATCAGAAAGAAAATACTGTGTTTCTCCAAAAATAAGAGAGGGTCTTATATTAATTTTTGTGCCAAAACCGCATTTGGGGTTGTTTTCAGGGGATGGTGTTTTGTTTTTGCTTTTTTTCATGTATGACAATCTATATTTATTCAAATACAGGCAAGTCATCATCTTCTGGTTGCTGCACGATGGTGGAGGGCAGGGTTTCACTTAACTTGGGCTTATTTTTTGGAGTAGGGCTTATATTATGAGCATCCTGAAAAATCATACTAGGGCTTATTTTCAGGTTAGGTCTTATTTTCAGGGAAACAGGGTAATGAACATTCCAGGGAGTGCAAAAGCAAGAACATGGAAAGATAAGACTACAATTTAATTTGTTTCAGCATTTGTCCATTGAAATATTTTCTCTTATTGATACAGGATATTTAGCAAAACTACAAGTGATTTTGCACTATAAAAGCTAGTAATCCATTCTAGAGATGAGCATGAAGTACTTTGTACCCCTTTGTCACAAATCATCTGTTCGTTTCCCCCACCCCCTCGCCAGCACCTCCACTTGACAGCTGACATGCGCTGCTCCATCCCTCAATCTTTCAGTCCAGCCTGGACTTCCCTTTTCCGCCTCCTCCAACAGCTGGCTACTCAAACAGAAGCACTGCAGGAATTCCTGCCCCACCGCCTTGTCTGAGTGATCAGCTGCTGGAAGAGGAGAAGGGAAGTCCAGGCTCCTGCCTGGACTGGAAGATTGAGGGATGGAGCAGTACACACTGTCTGGTGAGTGGAGCTGCAGGTGGGGGGAAGGAGTGTATGGCAGCTGTGCTGCCGTGCATATGATTTATGAAAAGGAAGTACTTCATGTCCATCTCTAATCCATTCTTTGGTATGATAATTGTAGAACATTATTTTTAAAAAATCGATAGACAAAAAACTCTGGGAGGCAGTGGAAGACAAGAGGGCCTGGCGTGCTCTGGTCCATGGGGTCCCAAGAGTCAGACACGACTTAAAGACTAAACGACAACATAGACAGAAATCCAATCCAACAAATCAACTACATAATTTAGAAATTTAATTATTTAATACTTATATGCTTTAAAATAAATTACAGAAATCATACAGCACAAGCTAGCAAAAATAATTCATAGTTCTACGTGCTAGTATGAAAAGTCAGTCCAAGAGAGGACTAGACAAATACTCCTTAACCTTTCATCATATGGATCAAATTTTTTATTGTCTGGGCAACTAAGCATCTGGAATTGGACCTGCCATGGATACAAACCTCTTGTCAAAGGCTAGTGTGAATGTAGGTGCCTTAAATAGGCTATCATGTCATGGCTCCAAGATAGATCGTTTGGAGTTGCTTGAGAATTAACCACACCACTTGTATAATAAAGGATTTTTCTATCATACTGAAGATAAATGGGAAGTACAGTGGTGCCTCGCTTAACGAGCGCACCGTATAACGACGAAATCGCATAGCGATCCGTTTTTTCGGATCGCTAATGCGATCGCTCAACATTTTCCTAATAGGGCGAAATTCGCTTTGCGCAAAACGAAGCCCGACGATCAGCTGTTCGGCGGCCAAAATGGCCGCCGGAAGCCCGGAAATGGCCCAAAATGGCCGCGCGCAGCGTTTTCGTGCCCTCGTTAAGCGAGGCGAGGGCGCGAAAATGGCTGCCGGCCATTAAGAAGCATCGCTGAACGGTGAGTATTTGGCCCATTTGGAACGCATTCAACCATGTTTAATGCGTTCCAATGGAATTCCCTGCCCCGTTCAACGATGCTTCAGCACAGCGAAGGTTAATCCGGAACGGATTAACCTCGCTATGCAAGGCACCACTGTACTATAGCAGAGTGCTGGAAAGGCTCCCAGGGATACAGCTGAGCATATATCCCTTAAAGTCTAGTTGCCCGGGCATATGTTCATGTGTCTGGTACCTAGCAGAGATGTGGTATAAAATGATTTTATGTTATGGGTGTGATGATTTGTGTTTTTATGTGTATTAGAATGGGATATGTAGTCCTAAGATTGTCCCAATAGCATCCATCTTGATTTAAAGTCTGTTCTGTAGTAGGAAAGTTTTTCATGCTGTTTCAGAGAAGCTTCGCTCTCTGATTATCTCGTTGCTAAGATGAGTAGAGAGCAGAGACTTTAGTAGTCAAAATAATTCTGCCACAAAACTTGATAACAACTCTCAAGCTCTCATGAGAAAGTTAGGCGGGACAACAAGACCCAGGAGGGGGTGTTCCTTATGAAGAATTCTGGGAAGAGGAAGGAAATTGGTAAGGAGTTGGAAAAAGATGGAGTTGGACTGAGAAAGGTCAGACACGTGCTTTTTCCCATAATGGTTTGTAGCTTTGCTATGGACTATTTTTCCTACCATGGACTGATTGAAGTCAACTGGATTTCATCTAGCATCAGCCTATGAAGACCCAAGACACGTGAGATGGACTGTGTTATGCTTTTTATTAGTTAGCATAATTCTATTTCTTTATTTTTCCAGCTGGAGTGGGGAGGGGAGTATTCCGTTTGTCTTGATATGAAAATGTACCTACTGAACTATTTTACCATCAACTGAAACCTTTTCTAAAGCAATTCTTTTCAATAAAGCAGTAATGATTTGATCTGCATGCATTGGTTCTTGTACAGACTAGCTGAATGTCTAATTGGCCATGTGTGTTTGCTACCAAAGATTTAGAGCCAGATTATTCTGAGTATAACTCATGGATTTGTCTGTGTGTGTTGCTTTCTTACTAAAGGAGATTGGCTTTTGAGGAAGAAGTTTAGACAGGACCTTGCTGAGACCTAAGTGGCTCTGCTCAGCAGTCAGAGGTTTGTCTGGATTTCGGACTCATCCCAGTCTCCGGCACCCCCATAAATCTCTTTGGAGATAAGGGGCAGCTTACAATGGGTGTCTCCATTTCAGAATTTATAGAAGCTTAATGTGAGAGGTGGGTGGTAGGGCTGTGAGCAGAAGCTAACAGCGCCTCAGTTCTCGTGAGAAGTTATAGACACCTTCTTAGTAATTTTCCTGCAAAAGCAGCTCACTTTACACCAGTGCAGCCTGTTAAATGAATGAGCTAATGAGAAGCAACAAGCTAAAGAGAGTAACAAATTTTAATCCCAATAGCAAAGGAATATGATCCAAAATGACAACTGACATGTAGGACAGGAAAATCCACACCACTGAGTAATTCTGATGCTTATTACAGTAGGCACTGAACACGGCCACAGGTATAAAAACACTTCAAAGAAAAACAAAACCACAGGTATAAAAACACTTCAAAGAAAAACAAAACCCCAACACAGTTGCCACACTGAAAAGACAAACTCGAAGAAACATAGGTATGTAAGTAACAAAATATTCTTCATTCTGGTGCCCATGTATTCACATATAGGGGTGATTCGCAAGCTAGAGTTGTGGAGGTGGGAGTTATGCCAGGACAGAACAGCCCTCTCAAAAGCAGAATTTCTCTGAGCCCTGAGATTTAGCCTATCGTGTGTGACAAAGGTTAAGGGCTGGGACCACGTGGCTGCTCAGCAGATATCCTGGATGTTTACACCTTGCATAAAGGCAGTAGGGAAGAACATTCCTCTGGCAGAGTGGCTGCAGAAAGCCAGAGGTGGGGGCTTGCTTGCAAGTTCATAGGCCAAGGCCACAGATAAGGAGATCCATTTTCAGAAGCGTTGGGAGGAAATTGGCTGTCCTTTCTTGGCGCCTTGGTAGGAGACTAGAAGTCTGGTTGTTTGTCTAAAGTCCTTTGTTCTGTCTAGGCAGAAGGCCAGCGCTTGGTGTATGACCAAGGAGTAGAAGGATCGTTACAGGTCATTTTGAGGATACAGATAAAAGGTAGGTAACATGACAGGTTGAAACATGTGAAAAGAGATGCTACTTTGAGTAGGAAAGTGCTATAAGTATGGAGAGTGACCTTGTCTTGGGAGAAAATGATGTAAGGTGAGTCATACTGAAGCGCCATAAGCTCTGCAGCTCGATGTGCTGAGGTGAGTACTACCAGAAGTGCAACCTTGAGAGATAGAAGGCAGAGACCCACTGTAGCCAGTGGTTCAAAGGGAAGCTTGGTAAGTTGGGAAAGAACTAGTGGTAGGGGGACCAGGGGTCTTGTGGAGGTCACTTACCTGGGTAGGCATTGTGGAGGCCCTTTAGGATGCTTTTTTTTCACAGCGTGATTTCTGAAGAACTTTACAAGGGGATGGCCAGTTGATTGATGAGCGACTATGTCGGCAACTATGAGATAGAAAGTCTTTGTGGAGGCCCTTTAGGATGCTTTTTTTTTTTACAGCGTGACGCCTGAAGAATTTTGCAAGAGATGGCCAGTTGACTGCTGAGCTACTGTATCGGCAACTATGAGATAGAAAGTCCTTGTTGTTTGAGATGCAGTAGGAAAGTAAGAACTGTGGAAAGAGATGCAGGAGAGTCCTGAAGCTGATGTGATGCCACATAGCACTGAAAATGCTTCCACTTATAGCCATGAAGTCTAGTAGTGGGAGGGTAGCTATGAGAGGGATGAGAGGGATATTCCCCCAGGCATAGCCATGAAGTCTAGTAGTGGGAGGGTATCTAGCCTGTTTCAGGATGTTACCGATGAGAGGGATATTCCCCCAGGAAGCGAGTTTCAGGTGAGGGATGTCTGGGTGAAGTGCCATGCTGTTGTGGCTAGAGAGGTGGTCACGGTGCAGAGGAAGCTGAAATCTGCCAACTGCTGTGGAAAGGGTGGTGAACCGCTGTTGTCCTAGCCACAACGGAGAATTGCCTCTGAATGATCAAATAAGAGTTTCACAATTGTGTACTGAATCAGTGGAAAGGGAGAGAATATGTAAAAGAGATCCCCCGTCCAAGTCACGGTAAAGGCGTAGCCCAAGGAATTTGGTCCATTGCCTGCACGGGAGCAGTGGCAGGCACATTTTGGAGTTGGTGGCAGTAGCAAACACATCCACAGTAG